TGTGATGAGATGTCACACTAGAAACTATTAACACACATAGAAAGTATTAAATCAAGTGAATGTTATGCTTTTACTGATGGTTCTGTGCAGACAAATACAGGTAGAACAGGCTGTGCAATTGTAATATATAAATAAAAAGAGATGATAGTGTCAAACAAGCAAAGGCTAAACAACTGGGCCAGCACAATACAAACTGAACTAACTGGAATCTACTTAGCTGCAGACTACATTAAAGAAAATGGAGGTGGGGTGATATTCTGTGACTCAAAGTGCTTTGAAATCAATGAACAGCCCATCAAGTTCTATGTCTAAAGTTGTATGTGTTATTAAAAGAAATGTGAAAACTGCCAATGAGAACAACTCTCTTATCGAATCTGTGTGGATTACGTCCCATGTTGGAATTAGGTATCATGACCGTGATAGACTGGCCAATGAGGCATGCAAGAGAGAAAATGTTGACCGTGACCTTGGTCTGTCCAATGCTTTACTTAAAAACATTCAAGTCAGTACCATGAACTGTGATCTAGAAGAACTGAGAAATGCAGAAAGACCTGGCAGTTGTAGCATTAGTAAATATGAAAAATTTTGTGAGGAGAGGTACCGGTATGGCCAGCATAAGGACAGAATCAGACAATGTGATGTAGTCATGGCCAGAATTAGGCTAGGATACTGTACAGTAGGGAGTGACAGTTTGGCAAAAGTTTTCAAAATCTAATTGCTTGGGTTGGATTATTTGTCTATCGGCCACGCTAATTCCGAATATGTTTGAGTTTTTTACATCATTGCATTAGAAGGTTTGTGGATACTTTTGGGTTTGGCATGAAAAACGCGAAAAAACTGTAAATAATAAAGGGACTGGCAATGTGGCACAACCTGTTAAAATCAATTTATTGAATTGGATTATTCGACTACTGTGTACACTGGTTCATAATATGCTATTGTTTTACAACTCAATGCGCTACAAATTATGCCGATATTTTTGCTGCAAGTCACCACATACGTATATTTCGAAAACCAGGGCCCAATATTACCAACGGCGTGGATAGATTCCGTGGAATGAATTCAGGACATTCCCGCTCATGGAACATTACCAAACTCCGTATATGTGCCAATGGCAGGCCAATGGCAATATTTACAGAGTTTGTTGAGGCTCCCTGGACGGGAATGCCCTGAATTTATTCCACGGAATCTATTCACGCCGTTGGTAATATTCGTCCCAGGACTGATCAACGAATTCAGCCCAAGTAGCTTGACTTGGACAGTTAAGGACAAAATCTCAGTCCGTACTTTTGAATAAAATATTGTTCAATAGGTGGTGATATTGAAGTGCTGAAAGTTGTTTTTTCTGTGTTGTTTTGCAGTTAGTTCAAAGGGCCGCCACCAAGATGGGTCGTCCTAAGATTAGCAACACTCAGCTGCGCCAGGGTAACGATAAGGTGTTCGGGGTTCGGATGCCTCTGCCATCTAACAAGTTGCCTCTGAACAAGGAAGTTGGAAGTGCCCTGGCTTATGAAGCAGAAAACGAGAGGTTAAGGAGAAGAACAAATGCTTTTGATTATATGGATGCCACCAACAAGGTGACTGAGAAGGTACTGGATGTGTATAGGAAGGCCACTGTCCCCACTATCTCTGAAATCAGGGTGAAAATGAGAGTCCACGACCTGTGGAGGATGCGGAGGGAGACGATGATGATGAAGGGAAATGGACAGAAACAGAAAAGGAAGAAAACGAAGAACGGGAAGCTGAAGATGAGGTTCGAGGATATAGCTGAGAAGTTGTTTGATGTGGCAGACGACAGCAAAGTGCACGAACGAGAGAAAAGCTTCCTGGCAGCCCAGAGGAAACCGGGAAGGGAGGGCTGCATTGATGGCATTGACAAAATTGTGACTGCCAAGCTGAAAGAAAAGAGGGAGAAGGAAGCGAAGAGGGCAAAGAAAAGGGCTGAGGAAGAGAGGAAAACTGATAAGATGAGGTCAAAGAATAAGGAGGAGATGGAGAGGATGTCGTGTAAAGTGTCGGCAGTGGATGACAGTGCTCAGGAAGAAGATAGTGATTATAAGGATGTCAATGACAATGAGTTCAAGGCTATGGTCGACAGGAGAGCAAGATCAGAGAAAAGGAAAAGGGAGAAAGAAGCCGAGGACAGGATCGGAGAAACTGCTGACAGGTTCAAGGTATCCAATGATGCAGTGGCTCACATCGCAAACACCATCAGAGCTGCAGACAACATCATAACTGAAGGGGACAAGTCTAAAGTGACTAACTGGAAGAAAGTGGAGAGAGTCAGGAAGAGGTCACGAGAACAGAAAAAAGAAAAGTTCAGGGGATTCAAGGTCAGAGGTCTCATGGTAGATGAGAGGATCAATGAGAACAAGATAGTGACTGGTGTAGGTGAGAAGAACCACAAGAGATTCGCCATGGAAAAGAGGGAAGACTGTGCAGTGATCGGCTTCCCTGGTGAGGAGTTCCTTGGTCACCTGGTCCCGGTGGGGGGAAAGGGGGTAGACCTGGCCACCAGCCTGCTGGCCTTCCTGGAGGAGCGCGGTATTGACACCACCGACCTCCTGGTTGTCCTTAGCGACGGTTGCAACAAACTGAGTGGCTATAATCACGGTTTCATCGCCGAGTTTGAAAGGCTGTTGGGACGGCCTCTCCTCCACATCCACTGCCTGATCCACAGTCTGGAGAAGCTCTTCGGCCATCTATTCAACCATTACGCTGGCCCAACCACTGGTCCCGCCTCCTGGAGTGGTGAGGAGGCTCGGAAGCTGACCGGCAACGTGTGGGACCTTCCGGTGGTTGAATTCGAGGCCGTCACCAACACCTACCTCAGGTCTCTCCTGGATGCCATCCCCTCCGTCGTCTGGGAGGAGTTCAGCTGGGACACCCGGTATCTGTTGGAGATGGCCAAGACGGTGGAGTCCGGCCACATTGAGGAGAGATGGGCCAGGGCACGGGCCGGAGCCATGACCAACGCCAGATGGCAAAACACGGAGAGCAGGGAGCTGAGGGCCTACATGAGCACCACCTCCCCCAGCGAGTCACAGAGACGGATGACCTCCTTCATCATCCTTATCTACGTGCCCTCCTTCCTGGAGATCAGGCAGAGGAATCTGCTACTGGAGGGCCCACGCCACCTCCTCGCCATCATCAACCGGGTGAGGACGTACTGCACCCTGGAGGAAGTGGAGCTGCTTACTCCATACCTCCAGTTCAACGGCTACTTCGGCCAGCACGAGGTGGTGCTGGTCTCACTGCTGGCCTCCATGGACAAGAGTGAGAGGGAGTTGGCCCTAAACATCATCAAGCAGCTGAGGAAGAAGGAAAAAAGGCACAAGAGAAAGACAGTGAGGAAAGTGAGGAACCCTCAACTGAATCTGGCAGCCACCAAGCTGTCAGAGTTGGTTGATCTGCAGAAGGCCAGCTCCTCCCCTCCCATCCTGTTCCAGCACAGTGACCAGGAACTGGAGCAATTTCTGGAGGAACCGTACAGTGAGCCAGGTCTGCCCTGCACCACCACCGCAGTGGAAAGAGGAGTGAAGCTCACCACGGAGGCGGCAGACGTGGCCAGCTCTGCCTGGCAGCAGGACCAGGTCACCTGGAACAAGCTGGAGGCCAGGAAGAGAAACAAGCGGAGGGCTAAGAAAGAGGACTACCAGTGCTAGACTGTGGGGACACTGGGACTGAGGGGACACTGGGACTGTGGGGACAGCCAATGTTAGTGTGCCAACTGTGCTAGTGTGCTGCTGATAAATTGAAGCATACATGCCAATAATAAAGAATGTCTACCATTATTCTTGTTTTTTTTATGTCGAACCGAAAAGTATCCACAAACCTTCTAATGCACTGATGTTAACGATTCAAACATATTCGGAACCAGCGTGGCCGATAGACAAATAATCCAACCCAAGCCACTTGATTTTGAAAACTTTTGCCAAACTGTCACTCCCTACTGTACAGGCACATATGGGAAGTTAGTAACGCTGTACCCATACCGGAACACTCAGCATGTAAACTTTGTGATAAACCTTTAAAGTATACACTTGAACACTATTTTATTGAATGTGACAATGTCAAAGACTTCAGGCCACCTGGCTTATTGTATCATGAACTTTGTAATTACTACATTGAATCGGGGGTGTTTGGGGACATTCTTGCTGTTTACCCTAAATTTGCTAGCCCACACTGATTAGTCTTAAATTAGAATATGACGTCCAATGTATATGAACCACTGTCTTGCATTGCAGCGAACAGTGACATCACCCAAATGACTCTGACCTATATATACTGCTAATGAATATGATGCATTTCTTTGTGTACAAACCTCCGTCCTGCATGGCAGTGAACAGTGACATTGCCCACGTGAATCTGACCTATATATTCTGTTAATGTATTAATAATAATAAATAATAATAATAATAATAATTGACGGTTTATTGAAAGAGCTTGGCAGCCAGAAGGCTGAAAATATACAGTTACATATTTGGGGAATGGGTTTCGAATTACAAATAATATACAAGTAACATAAGTGATACAAATATGATATATAAAAACTAGATGGGGAAAAGTTCAAACTACAGTGCATTTCAACATAGTGACAGTGCAAGAAGTAGTATTTACTGGGAGTGAATACACTAGTTTATTACAAGTTATTGATAATTTTTACAATGGTTGGGACTGGGCTGTTCTTATAGCGGTCAGTTCGTGCACGTATGGGCTGGATGCGGTTGTGGTGTCGAACAGCAATTCTCGGGCTGGGGATCTCAGGTGGTAGTAGGAGCCGGTGTCGAGGATGGTGTAGAAGCTTCTTACCAAATAGGAGAGTTATTGGTTTGTTGCTGGAGAAATAAAACCTCAACGTTGACTCGTACCATATAATTCGGTCAAAACCTGTTAAAGAACAATTCACATATAACAAATGCTGTTATCTCAGGACACAAAGTATGAATAATACAATCAATATACAGTACATAGCCTGTTAACATCTTAAATATAACTCACATGTTACAACTGTTGATACATCAGGAGACAATTTGTATAATATGAACAAATTACAGTACATAAATATACTTATTAAAATTATTTAGAGTTTTTATTTAGAGGCTTTACTAGTTCACGATCACACTCACGTTTTGGGGTCTAGGGTTTGACCAGCGTGTTGTTTCTCCTGCAAGAATCGGTGGACTACTGTGAGAGCAATCGCAGCCCAATCGCAGCCTGAGGCGAGGACCATCTGTTTCATATTTAAACATGTCAGCAAGCACGTCATCAACACTATGCCTCTCTTCTCACCCTCTCTCTCGTCTAGTTTATCTTATTGTGGCTACCTGTCTCTTTCTCTCTCTCTCTTCTAGTTTATCTTACTGTGGCAATAACACTCCTCCTGTCGGGCTTCGCACGAAATCACGGCATATTATTAGATTCACTCTCCGACCCCTTCCAACAGGCAGAGTCTCGTCACTGGGCGTATTAACACTGAGTCCTTTGTCTTCACTTTAACACTTCGCACCAGGCCATCTTTGCTCGGTAGAGCCTCCAGTATTCTCCCTGGCATCCACTGACTCCTGGGGAGGGGTTGTCCAGAGATGATCATGATATCCACAGTGTGGAGATTACGGCGAGTTTTGAAGAACCTTTGTCGCTGACGTAATGTTGGGAGATATTCTTTTATCCACCTTTTCCAAAATTGGTCCGCAATGAATTGGGCATGCTATCCCTCTTCGTCGGTACCCTTCTGTCATGGACCGATCGCCTCGGTGGACAGTGTCTCCGGGTTCATCCGAAGTATGGGAAGCGGCGTTAGTGCTTCTAGATCCTTTGGGTCGTCAGACACTGGGGTGATGGGCCTTCCATTGATAATCTCTTCTATGGCACAGAACACAGTGCTGAGGTGTTCATCATCTAGTGTCTGGGTGCCCACCACTCCCTGGAGGACCTTCCTTACAGTGCGGATTTGTCACTCCCATACTCCTCCCATGTGAAAGGCTGTTGGGGGTTGAACTGCCATTCTACCTGTTTCTGTAGAAGGGCAATCCTGACCTTGTCACTGTTGTTCCAGGCGTTCACCACCTCTCGAAACTCTCGGCTAGCTCCAATCATGTTGGTTCCCCTGTCAGACCGAACACGCTTGGGAGGTCCCCTGCGGTAGGTGAATCTTGTCAGGGCATTGAGGAACGAGGCGGTGTCTAGTGAGGTGAGGACTTCCAGGTGTATGGCTCTGGTGGTCATGCAGGTGAATAAGCATCCCCATCTCTTCGCCCGGGCTCGTCCTTGTTTAACCAAAAAAGAACCGAAGCAATCAATTCCAGTGTAGGCGAACGGCTGGCCTCCTGGGCGCACTCGATCTTCTGGCAAGTCGGTTTGGCGTTGGTGGGTAGGCCTCCAGTTGCTTCTTCGGCAAGTCACACACGTCCGTATTGTGCGGTCTAGTAATTTGCGGCACTTAGGTATCCAGTACGTCTCACATATTATGGCAAGAGTGTGTTCTCGTCCTGAGTGTCCAGCTCTAGTTGAGTGTATCTCTCTCCCGATGAGCCCCGTGATCCTGTTGTCCCTTGGCAATAGTATGGGATTTTCCTGGTCTGGGTGGAGAGCGGCGTGTTTCAGTCGGCCACCTACTCTGATCAGACTGTCCGTGTCTAGATGAGGTTCAAGCCGCCTTATGTCACTATCTCTCACGGGTTGTCCCTGTTGTAACATTCCTAGTTCTCGAGGGAATCCTTTCCTTTGCATCAATCTTAAGACGGCTAATTTCGCCTCTTCCAATTCGCTGATCTGGAACTGATTTTCTTGGTGATGTTTGTTCTTTCGCTTCCCAAGCCGCCATTCTATAAACCTTCTAATCCACGCTACGCTCTTCAGAAGTCGATGCCTCGATGAGTACCTGGCCCATAGCTAATCGAGGGTACCCTCCCCCTGGTCAACGTTCGTCGTCAGCACCGTGGTTTCCTTCTTCACCTCTGGGTCTCCGTCTCTGAGGTCTGGAATCCTCAATGGACTCTTTGGTCAACTGTCTTCTTCCAAGAAGAGGAAAGCAGGTCCCCAAATCCACCTGCCCTCCTCGTTGAGCTCTGCTCTATGTAATCCACGACTAGCGTCGTTGGCTGGGTTCAGTGCCGACGTCACGTGGTGCCATTGTTCTACCTTGGAGTCCTCATGTATCATTGCCACTCGATTGGTCACGAAGGAATGGAAGCGTCTTTTGGTGTTTCGTATGTATTGAAGGACTGCCGTACTGTCTGTCCGGAACACTGACCGGTCTATTTGTAATTCAAGTTCTCGTCGTAGTCGTTTGCCTACCTTGGCAGCCAGTACTGTCGTGCAGAGCTCGAGTTGAGGTATGGTCTGCTGTTTCAGAGGGGCTAGCTTGGCCTTGCCACACACGAAGGAGATTCGTTATTCAACCCAATACCTCGTCTACACTCATCTTGGAATATATATAATTTTGGCTCTTGCGACGCTCGGAGCGATGAGTCCCAGTGGGTCATATATGGGGCTGACCATACTCAGAAGGCTTCGTTTCGTCTCTGGTTTCTTAGGGATCTGGACCCGGACCTCTAGTTAGTCCTTTTCCAGGTCCCACAAGATTCCCAGTGCTCATACAGTGGGGAGCCTGTCGTCTTTCAAATGACTTCCTTTACTCCCACGGCTTTCTCTGTCTGTGGAATTGCCTTGAGGACTTCCCTGGAATTACAGACCCACTTCGTAAGTCCGAATCCGCCCTTCTTTCTCAGCTGTCTCAGTCAATGGGTAATTATCATTGCCTTCCCTGGCGAATCTACTGAGAGAAGCAGATCGTCAATGTAGAAGTTACGATTCGCTGTCTTGGTGTCGTCATGGACACCTTTCCCTGCAATCTTGGAATGATCGTTGTTGTATAATATGGACACGAAGTAGTACCTTAAGCTGTGTATTCATATATTACTCTATTAATTATGTATAGTAAAGTATTACAGAACATGCATTAATTCTATGTAATATTTCCATTTATTATGCACCATGTTATGTATATGAATTATCATATTTACATTTTATGTATTCAGCTTGTGAATGCTGGCATCTGTACGTGCCAGTGCGCAGTGATACATAGAGTGAAGATCACCAGTCCTTATGGTATGGAAGTGCTCTGCCTTATTAGTCCCCCTGTACATCTCCCGTACGAGAATAAGAACCTATTTTTAAGATAAGTGTTTGTGTATACCCTCAGTAGTGTAGAACATTTTGGGGGTATCAAAGACAAACATAGATGGCGCAGTGAGATTTCTCAGTGAGATACAGGGTGGACCAGCCTTCCCGCCGGACTGTGTTAATGGCGTCTCGTCTTCAGCTTCAAGGATTTACAGCCAGACTACAAGCCTCAAGACTTACAGTGTTGTGAAATGCTATGCTGTGTACAGTGCTGTGCTGTGAAGTGAAGTGTTTTGTGAAGTGCTGTGTTGTGTATTTTAATCAGAATTGTCTGTGCAAATTGCAGTCAGATGACTAAGGGAGCGGCCCAACAGTACAACCCCTCCCGTCTCTGGTCATAGGGTAACTAACTGACAGCGCGACTCTGCCCAGCGCCCGGCAGCGCGTCAAGCCTCACAAACACACACGCACTCACAGACCCACCTTATATTAAATTCTTGCGAATTACTTTAGACTTCTGTAATTCTGTGCATAGATTACGAGGGGTTGACCCGGTCTTTGCACAGATAGAGTACAGAAGCTGTCGGCATGTCTCACAGGGATCAAAATGATACCCTGGACGATAGGGTTATGAGTTTTAGTCTGGGAGACCTCTCCCCACCCACACTCAGGCCCCACGCTCCCCACAGTGACAACGCCCAATCACCCACAGAATCTCCTCGTTCGTCGCAAGCAAGCTCTCCTACGGTGCCTGCATCCACAGATCTCCTTCAACTGATTAAGTGGATGGAAACTTCTCGACGCCAGGACTATGTTGCAAGGAGAGGAGAGGAAGAAATTCGGTACAGAAAGTCTGAAAGACAACGCCACGAAGATGAACAAAGACGCAGAGAACTAGAAGATATACGTAAAAGTGAGGATGACCTGAGAAGAAGAGAGGATCAAGCCAGATTTGAAGTCTTGATTTCCCTGTAAGCCTCCCCACAACGATCTACCATACATGGTTCCTCTGCTACTACTAATGCTGATACGACTAGAGGTACTGGTACCTCATTTCCCAGAGTCGGTTCAACAATTCCTCAAAAGGCTGCAGCACAAACGCCTCCCTCTCTGAAGTCTGACGCTTCTTATCAGATATTTCGGGAATGGCGTCGACGTTGGCAAGACTATGCAACAATGGTTGACCTGTCAAGTTTACCACAGCCTAAACAGATGATACAGCTTCGTATGTGCTTGTCCTTAGAGACACAACGTACTCTCGAGCACACACTTCAAGTGCCTCCTACGACAACTCTGACTGTAGAGGCAGTTCTCGACAAGTTACAGGAACATGTTAAGGGACAGCGCAACGAAGCGCTTAGAAGAAGAGAACTCCTCCAATGTAAGCAGCTTGATGGAGAATCTTTTGATGCATTTTTTGTAAGACTCAAGAGATGTTCAGAGGAAGTTGATGTTTGTCCTGGAAACTCTCAAGTCTGTGAAGAGACACAGCTCAAGACAATTATTTCAACGGGTATTCGAGATGAAGAGCTAGTTCAGCGTCTCATTTCCCTTGACCCCACTTCCTCCGTTCAAGACGTAGTTACAAAATGTCGAGCGTATGAGGCCGCCAGGTGTGCGACTTCAGCTTTACGTTCACAACCTGACCAGGTGAGGGCGGTGTCTTCCTACAGAAAGGGTAAGAAGCAGCAAGGTAACCCCACCCCTCACCCTCCAGCTACACCTTCAGCAGCAGCTTTGTGTAACAGCTGTGCGAGACCGCATGATGCCTCCCAGTGCCCAGCTGCTCAAAGCGTGTGCAGAAGTTGCGACCGCCAGGGTCACTGGGCTTACACAGTCAAGTGCCCTGCTAGCAAAGTTCAGTGCAGACTTTGTGGTCGTGTGGGCCATTATGACAAATGTTGTCGTAAGAAGACACAGAGAGGACACCACCTAGGATCCAAGAAGTCATCCTCAGGTAGTGCTGGCGCGCCCCCTCCTTCTGGCAAGCATCAAGACGCTGTGTCCAGTCGTTCCTGCCGTCGTGTACATTGTTCCACAGACACGACGCCCCAGCACATCAGTGGCGTCATTTCTCACGGTAACTTGTCATCCAGTCTTCAAATG